TCCATCTTTTTTCCTTCCTACCTCCCTCCCTCTTCCCTCCTTCTCTCCTTACCTCCCTTCCTCTTTTCTTCTCTCCCTCCCTCTTCCTTTCTCTCACTTCCTCACCCACTTTCCAATCCCCTCTACTTTCCTCCTTTAAGTCCTTCCTCCCTCCTTCCTTCCCTCATTCTCCCTCCCCTCTCTCTCTCTCTCTTCAGTAACCTAAATTCTTCCTTCAGTGTTATAGTTTATTGTCTGGACAGCCTTAGACGACTCACTTATGACCAGATGATGTATATATATTTTGCTCTACATAATATACTGTACATAGCAATGATTTAAAGACTATTATTGTATATAGTAAATTTATCGTAATTTTTGTTGTATTTGTATGAAGTGTATTACATTATATTGTTGTATTTAAATGATTATTGTTTTAATTTTTTTTAATCGTTGTTCTTTTGGTCTGACGTTACTAAGGTTTTTAATTGTTCATAATTTTTCGTCTTTCTCCTTATTCTTCTCTTCCTTAATCCCCTCCATCTTTCCCTAACTCCCTCTACCGTCTTATAATAATTAACCCCATTCTCTCTCTCTCTCTCTCTCTCTCTTTCTCTCTCATACCCTACAAGCCCATCCCTCTTGTCACGATATCCTCCTCCTCCTCCTGTTGCTTCCCTCTTCTTCCTTCCATTTCTCAAGCTTTATTCATTTCTCTTATTTTCTTCCTCTCCTTTTTCAGTTTAATCGTTTTTAACCTTCATATACAAATTCCTTTCATTCAGTATTTAAACACCGAGGAATTTTGTGGTTTCAAATATGAGACATTTAGAAATGGCTTCAAGTCTTAGAGAATCTTAAAATGGTTGAGATAATTGTCCGAATTAGGTTAGGTTAGGTTAGGTTTTTAATTACGGATATTTAGGTTAACACAGCTGCTATTCATTAATAATTTGTATTATAATTATCTAAATGATCGACCCTACGTAGAGTCAACAACAAAAGCCCATTCGCCTCACCCCCTGAACTACGAACCCCGAGATTCAGACTCACGAATCCGAAGCATTTATGGACAGAATAATGTATCAGTTTACTGCTTCGGGTTCACGAGTCTGAATCTCGGGGTTCGTGTTTCAGTGAGAGAGACAAACGGACTTCAGCAGTTGACTCTACAAACCAGTCCAAAAGTTTTCCTCAAAATTTAAGAAATATATTGAAATTATCACCTTATCGAAAAAAAAATATATATAATCATTCAAAAATTATCTCTAGATATGTAAACAGATAAAAAAAAACACGACCAAAATAACTAAAATAACTTAGAATATAAAATCTCTTATTTTTCCTACCATTACTTGACCACTCTTAGGGATAAACATTACAAGTGCATAAGGTCTCTTTATACCCTTCACTACGGGATGCCACTTTTATTAATTTATTTTAACTAATACCACATGATTTTATTCAGCTCAGAGGCGTCCCACAAGGGGTTAGTAGACTATTTCCACTATAATACTTGAGTCAAAAACAAATCTCTTATATGCGATTTTCTTTCCATTAATATAATTAGATATGTTTATGTTTTTACTTGTTCTGTTTTTTTTTATACCATTAATGTGAATATATAAGTTTTTTATGTTTTATTTTTTTATGTTTATGTTAATATATGTATAATGTAATCTCATTTAACAAGGAGTAGCTAGCGCATAGTATTGGTGATTCAAGCCTACTGACCGCGTTCCCTGATTTCCTCCCTCCAGCCTCTTGTAACCCAACCTACCCCTGTTAACTCTCTCCCGTTGATGCCGTTGACACCGTTGGCAGCTGAGAGAATTGATGGGTTTGGATGGTCCCTCCCGTTAACAGTGAACAACAGATGATGAACAGGAACGGGAAACTAGAGGGGGGTTGTTGTGGGTAAGATTTGTATCACGGATGGACTATGGGAGATCTTTGTTGGATTGGTCTTATGGTTGCGTTCACACACACACACACACACACACTTCAGCTTTGGTGTGTGTGTGTGTACAGTATGTATGTATGCGAATGTGTGTATTATCATCACCTACATATAACACACACACACACACAGCAAACTAACTCGTGTAGAACAGTGTAAATTTTATCACTATATTTATTAATTGTTATAGTCTACTGATAGGTGAGAGATGATGATCATGATCACGATGATGATGATGACAGTGACGGTGATGATGACGGTGGTGGTGATGATGGTGACGATGACAATAACGGTGATGATGATGATGAGTTTGAACGCTCTGTGTTACCCCTGACTCCACGAGATCTCCACTATCTAAATAATCAATATCTGACACACACACACACACACACGCCCACACCTACTATACATTATACGACTGTAAATAATTTGTTTAACCAAAACATCTCCGCCAATACACAAACCTAACCTAACCTAACCGAATACGACCCAACCTAACCTGACCTAACTTAACCGAACCTAACCTATCCCAAACAAATCAAACCTAACCTAATCAAACCTAACCTAACCCAATCGAACCTAACCTTTCAAAAACCTAACCAAATATAACATAACCCAACTAACTAAACCTAACCTAACCTATCCAATCTCGTGTGATCAGCGAAGATCTTAAAATATCTTGAACATCTTACACTCTAAATATTCTGTTATACGAAAATAAAAACTGTACTTACTCAAAACTTTTTCACTACAAAAAGACTAAATAAAGTTCACTGTAGTATGGTGAATTTACTGCCTAATTTGGGTTAACATGTGGTGGTAGTGTAGGTTAACATGTGACGGTACGGTGTGGATTAACATGTGGTGGTACAGTGTGGGTTAACATGTGATGGTACAGTGTGGGTTAACATGTGATGGTACAGTGTGGGTTAACATGTGATGGTACAGTGTGGGTTAACACGTGATGGTACAGTGTGGGTTAACATGTGATGGCACAGTGTGGGTTAACATGTGATGGTGCAGTGTGGGTTAACATGTGGTGGTGCAGTGTTGGTTAACATGTGGTGGAACAGTGTGGGTTAACATGTGGTGGTGCTCCTCTAGTGTGGGTTAACATGTGGTGGTGCTCCTCCAGTGTGGGTTTACATGTGGTGGTGCTCCAGTATGGGTTAACATGTAGTGGTATAGTGTGGGTTAACATGTGGTGGTGGTGCTCCAGTGTGGGTTAACATGTGGTGGTGGTGCTCCAGTGTGGGTTAACATGTGGTGGTGGTGCTCCATTGTGGGTTAACATGGGGTGGTCTTCCAGTGTGGGTTAACATGTGGTGGTCCTGCAGTGTGAGTTAACATGTGATGGTGCTCCAGTGTGGGTTAACTGTGGTGGTCCTCCAGTGTGGGTTAACATGTGGTGGTGCTCCAGTGTGGGTTAACATGTGGTGATGCTCCTCCAGTGTAGATTAACATGTGGTGGTACAGTGTGGGTTAACATGTGGTGGAACAGTGTGGGTTAACATGTGGTGGTACAGTGTGGGTTAACATGTGGTGGTACAGTGTGGGTTAACATGTGGTGGTACAGTGTGGGTTAACATGTAGGTGGTTAACACGGTGTGGGGTGTGGTACAGTGTGGGTTAACATGTGGTGGTACAGTGTGGGTTAACATGTGGTGGTACAGTGTGGGTTAACATGTGGTGGTACAGTGTGGGTTAACAGTGTGGGTTAACATGTGGTGGTAGTGTGGGTTAACATGTGGTGGTACAGTGTGGGTTAACATGTGATGGTGCAGTATGAGTTAACATGTGGTGATACAGTGTGGGTTAACATGTGGTGGTACAGTGTGGGTTAACATGTGATGGTGCAGTATGAGTTAACATGTGGTGATACAGTGTGGGTTAACATGTGGTGGTATAGTGTGGGTTAACATGTGGACGACGCAGCCAGGACGGTGCTGGAGAATTAATGATGTTTTTGTGTTCAATAAGTTTATGAGTGTGCGTATAGTGAGTAAGCCAAGCATTATATATTACACTGTATATATTATATAATAAACATACTGTACTTTATGCAATAGATACAATTTGTATACATATCAAATTTTTCGCATAGTTGCATTATTATTGAATTTATTTGTGAATACTACTACTACTACTAATAATAATATTAACAATAATGACAACACTAACAGGATAACGAATCACAAGAAACACTGGTAAACGACACACTTAGCAACACCACAGTAACAACTACAACCACAACAGGTGAAAAGTTATTATGAAAATGAATTCTTGTAAACTTGAACCAACATAAAATATTCCTTGTGTATGTATTTCAGAGTAATGTCTTTCTGCCAATGACCTCTACGCTAATGGCAGTTATTTAATTATCTCATAAACGACTTCAATTAGTTCGAATATCAACTGAACACATTACAGTCACATTAAGTATATTGTATTAAAATCTGGAAATAAACGCAAGTGTATATTGTCCGTGTATAAGTGTATAGAATCTAACATGTACTGTATGTCACTAAGTATGCTTTGATGACCTCAGTTACGTCAGGGTTTATGTATGGTTCAGTTTCATAACAAGCGAAATGCACACTTCGTCAGGACTCTGGAGACGTTCGGAAACAATGTCATTGTTTTAGTCCGGTTTAACAAGTCAACAAACATATATATCTGGTCACGAGTAGTTAGTTATGTGTGAGGAGGATTAATTGTTTAATCATCTAGCCAATTGGGGACCCAGAGCACGTATTGTGGCCCTATAGCTGACGTACATACAGAGCTGGGGAGATCATGACTCGCCGCCGTGTATGAGTGGGATGAGGTGTTACATCCTCACCTTCCTTACCGTGCCGCCTGCTGGCCGCCGACTGAGGAAACTTGCTCCTCCCCCCGGTGCGCGCAGCCCGACTCCTCCCACTCCACACCACTTCCACCAATCGCCTCCAAAGCCACGCCACTCTAGCACCCCAACAACCAATCATAATGGCACTCGCAACGCAAATAATTGAGTGAGCCAGCTATCAGTTGATTGTTTGATTTTTGTAACTATTCGATTTGAAATCCGATCCAATAGCAGTTGTAGAGTTGTAGTTTGTATCTGAGGGAGAGTGTGTGTGTCTTGGTGGTGGCGCGCGGACGTGTATACGACTCGGACTCACTATGAGTACAGAGGCCCTCATGGAGCCCAGCGCTACCCAAGGCGGACGACCTCCGGCTTCGTCGCCGCCACACAAAAGTCCCTCTCCTCCGTCGTCGACTTCGCTGGCGTCGCACCTACTGGCGGCCGTGTCGCAAGTTCAGAGCCTTACGTCGCAACTGCCTCCTTCTGTGCCAATACCCACGTCCTCGCCCCCTGGGCTAGGAGTTTATCGCCATGGCATGCTCGGAGGCGGTATGCCGCACCAATTTCACCTTGGCTCCGAGCCTCCCATGTCCTCACTGCTGGCCGGACTCAAAGACTTCCCCCGTCAGTACCACTCCCCTCCGCCATTACCGTCATCAGAAAGTCATGAGTGCAAAATCGTGGACTATCGAGGCGCCAAAGTGGCCGCATTTATCATTAATGGCGATACTATGTTATGCCTACCACAAGCCTTCGAGTTGTTCTTGAAGCACCTGGTAGGCGGCCTCCACACAGTCTACACCAAGCTCAAGCGGCTGTCTATCGAGCCCATCGTGTGCAATGTTGACCAGGTCCGCATCCTCCGGGGCTTGGGAGCCATCCAGCCGGGCGTCAACAGGTGCAAACTACTCTCCGTGAAACACTTTGACATCCTCTACAAGGACTGCACCACCGCCAGGTACGTGTACAGTGCTCGTGAGCTGTGTTGTAGGGCTGGACACTCGTCAGGCATCAACTGGTAGGGAGATTGATCTGCGTGTGACGATTTATACAGGAAAAACTATGATCCAACTTTTTTTTTTGGCCAAGATTTGCATGTACGTAGGTAGACGTGTTAAAACATGGGTGTGTATATGTGTAGCATCATGTAAACATTGGAGAAAATGGAAAACTAGAAGTGTTTATCGTAAAGTGAACGTCACAATAGTTCCTGTCTCGGTGAAGGTGAACTCCCGTGACCGTGAGATGAAGATGATGAGTGTAGTCTAGCATGATGTAGACCGTGACACTATCAGCGCCCCGACATACATCTCCGGACGCATTTTTTTCTCTTTCTCTCTCTTTCTTTTTTACTCCATATTTATCGGTGTTATTCTCCACGTATATAATGCATGGTTATGAATTTTATGTGATCATCTATATTCTTTAGTCAGACAGTCCTTAGTCGTGATATTGTTGTAACTGTTAACACAATGGTAGTCTGGTGATAATATTACCTATGGTTTAACACAACAGAGTAAGCGTGAAATAACTTGGAAAATGAAGATTAGAGAAGAATAATGAGTAAGAATATTCAGCATGAGTGTGCAAGATGACTTGTTATTGTCAGAGAATGTTGTCCATCTATTTGTGCTCAAGTAGCAATGAGACTACAGGAGACAACGAGAGTCCTAACCATATACCTGAAGGTAATATATTTTTTATTAGTATTTATTTTCACTTAACGTCATTTGAAATATTTTAGGTTTCATCTTGTGACAGTGCAATTTTTTTTTACAGATATACCATATTTTGTATTAATAAACCACACCTCGCACCTTACACCCTTTCACAATGCCATTCTGTCATAAAATTCAGATGAGATTGACCCTATTCTGAAATGCATTGTTGTCCTTATTCTAATGCAAATTTAGTGGGGGGGGAAACAATGTCATTAAGTGTGTATGGTAAGTGGGTGTGGCCCGTAGCGACAAGTGTTGGCTGGCCCCAAGTGGTTGGAGAGTGTGTGTGTGGGGGGGAGGATGGTCGAAGAGCTCCCGTCAACCCCAGGCAATTCCCCGTCTGTTTGGGTACTTTATGGTGCATTTTGGAGGCATATTTTGAGTCTAAGCTATTTATGGCTTAACAAACTAAGTTCTTCTGTAATTTATGCCCTTTTGGATAGGCTTCGGTGCATACCAATGACATGTCTATTCTTTTCACCGTAGCGTAGAGCAGTCAACAAAAGCCATTCTTAATGATGACGGCCTTACACATTCCCCTCTTCCCACCCTCCTCCTCCTCTCCTCTCTTCTCACTCTCTCTCTCTCTCTCCACCCCTCCTTCTCTCCGCCTGATTTACGACTTTACGGTCAGGATCTTCTGTGCGAATAATTAGTGTATGGCACATGCCCACTGCTCCACACAATAACGTCGAGTAGCTAATTGTGGGCACTATAATGACTTCAACCAGGACCTCTCGCTGCCACCCATTCACCGCTGTCAGCCGCCCCCATATACGACGGGAGTACCACCATCACCTATTCACAAACCGTATCATCAACCCCTCTGAGTTTCTACTACTAAAAGATTGGACTTATAATACTCACACTTCAGCCACACACACACACACTCCACCAGACGCTAACCGCTAACTTGACAACACTACTGCCACCCCCATTCAGATTGCACCATTACCTACTCACACCCTATTAGTATCCATTTAACCTTACATTGCCACCCATTTAATTTAACTGTCACCCCATTTGCTTCATCCTGGACTTCTCTCACGCCTTAATCTCCCCGACATTGCTAAATATTCAAACTATTTTGGGTGACATACATCCCCCCCTTATCCAAGCCTCGCTACCATGACTTAACCCAACTTAATCCTCCTGTTATCCAGACTCATATTACTTTATTATCCTCACTATCCTGACCTACATAATATCCACTCAATACAATATACTTTCTACTTTCATCAAAACAATTAAACAAAACTCTCATATATGACACACGACGCATCAGCCTCTTAGTCCTACTTGTGTCACAACATACATTAGTTAAAATCATAATAATTACTTTTTTTTTTGTGCCCTCTGGTGTTACTCTCTGGCTGGTGTCACTTAGCAATCCAAGCGGCGACTGAAGCTATACGGTGTCACTCAGTCCGACCAATTTGTGACACACTAATCCAGTCTCCTCCCCATTTGGTCTATTTAATCTCCAGTGATGAACTCTCTCAGGCCCCTCGTTGGAGTTATTGACTGGTTGGTTTCTGTGTGTGTGTGTGTGTGTTAGTGGTGTTGTAACTGTACGCTTACTACCATCAGCGGTACTCAGTCTACAGTCCCCTCCTTCAGCGGTACACAGTCTACACTTATTCCCATGGGAGCTACACATAACCTACACTCCCCTCCCCCCCCCATCTGTGTATGGATTACACTTAATCCTATTTGAGGTACACATAAGCTACACTCTCAACCAGTGACAAAACACATAGGCTACATTCAACATCGACGCTACACATAAGCTACATACATTCAACACCGACGCTACACACAAGCTACATACATTCAACACCGACGCTACACATAAGCTACAGTCACCCACTATCGCTACACATAGGCTACAAAGACTATAATCTCTCCCAACGACACCATACCTAGCCTACAGTCCGTACACTGCCACCCATTGACACCCTACACAGGATACACTCACATCTGTTGTCGTTACCTATAGCCTACACTCACTCCCATTGACTGGCTCAGGCTCCGTCTCTTTAGCTATTTGGAATGGCCATTATATCACCACAGGAGAGGTTGTTCATTTGACCGACGCCGAGCTTTTGTGAGCGGCGCGGGCGGGCAAGACTGGCTGGCTGGCGGACCTTTGCTAGTTTCTCTCAGGAATTGTCAAGTTCCTGAGTGGTTACAGACGTCATGAATAATGTGCCTAGACACGCCACACATACACTCTCACACACACAGATTAGTACCTGCGAGACACCTACTCCTGGGGTTAGTTAGTTGGCAATTTGCGACTGGTTGAGAATACATACGTTTTCAAAATTAGTGGTGTACCGGGAAGGTATGTGAGCTCCTCGCTAGTAGTCAAGAAAGTTTGGCGATATGTACGACCCTGTGAACCTCAAAAGTGATTATTTCTTTTGCTGACAGTGTAATTTGCGCAACATATGAGTGAAGCAGGAGTCGCTAAACATATTTCCGATGTGTGGAGATTAATCACGGAGCGGGCGAGTGTGTGAGGGAGGGAGCAGCAGCAGCAGCAGCAGCAGGAGGAGTGGTGGTGGTAGCGGGCGCGTGGGACCTGGTCGGGCGCGCCGCTCGCTGCCACGCCGATCCAACAAACCCACCGACTCCAACGCGCCGTGTTCGTTACCGAATTCAATCGATAATCGCTTACTTCGCTGTCGTCGAAATGAGTCGTGCGTTAATCGTACTGGCGGCGACCTAGTTGACAAATGATTCATGCAATGTTTATTGCACGGCTGGTGAACGTGTTGCATCATCACCCAACTCTCGTCACTGGAACAGGAGATGCGTGTTTAAGTTATACGACTCAACATGAAGTATATTTTCAGATGTCAGCCAGTTGTGAGTGATGGACAGTGAGTAACGTGGGGCAGCTAACACCCAGGGCATGCACATGCAGTTTCACTCAGGGTATTGTGCTGTCACCCTCTAGACTCGTAGTAACTTAAGAATTTATCTACGTTAAGCATCATTACAAATAGACTAAATAAATTGCACGATAATATTTCCTGTTACAGTTCATGATTTTTCCCGTTACCAAAATTTCTACAGTTTCTGGCATTTGATTATGAATGATTAGTATTTTCAGACACTAATACATCGACCTGGTGTAATAAATGTTGAAATAATTGTACGAAATTACCATGGTAAATTAATAATGGATTAATATCGGAGAAATTAACGCTCAGAACGCATTTATTTTTTAATCTCCTGAAACAGATCTAGATTTTAATTAGATAATACTGAAATGAAGTTTAACATTAAAAGCGGTATTAACACAACCGATATTACCGATGTGACACCAGACACCGATATATTCATCCTCAGTAAAAATTAGAATACGGTTTAAGAAATGTAAGACGAGAATTTTTGCATCTTTAATGAGGAACGGTTTAACAAGACCCCCTTAAAACTTAAACCCTCCACTTTCACCCATAAGAAAACAAAACAACCCCCCCCCCCCGAAAAAAAACCCACTGCGGTTCTCTCCATGGGGATCTTCTTCGGCTTGTAATTCAATTCCTTGATATCCAAAGTCGATATGAAGACGGTGGCTGAGGCTCTGAATATATCCGCCGCTCCCCACCGCTAGTTGCCTCAGTCTCATTAGCGTTTTGCAAATGGGGGGGCGTTTCCGTAATTGCTGACATAGGATACCGGCAGTTAGCGTCGTTAGCGGCAGCCAGTTACGACAACGAGGCAGTCGGGATTGTTTATTTGTGGATTGTTATTATTACGAAACGAACGGCATTGGTTGGAAGACAGTGGGATTCGATCTGGGTTTTGTAGGGGGAGGAAAGGAAGGAAGAGAGCAGGGGTGAGGTTGGGGAGTGACAAGGGTGAAGTGAAGAGTGGGGGGTGATGAGACACGAGAGATAGATGTTGTGGTGTAGAAGGATAAGGGTGACATTTAGAGGGGTGGGGAGACAGTGGGGTGTAGAGAGGGGAGACGGTAGGGTGTAGAAAGGGGAGGCGGGTGTAGAGAGGAGAGGAATTGGGTGCAGAGGGGAGAAAGTGGATGTAGAGAGGGGAGAAATTGGGTGTACAGTAGAGAGGGGAGACGGTAGTGTGTAAAAAGGGGAGAAGGTAGATGTAGAGAGGGGAGAAATTGGGTGTAGAGGGGAGATAGGGTGTAAGGGTGGGCAATAATATCTAATCAGGAACTTAAAACATACAGGGTGTTCTTGTTCCACTTGTCACCATG